TTTTCTAACCAAATGTTTTTAGGTCTACCTCTACCTTTTTTAACATAAGTCAAATCTAACACCTCTACTTTCCTAACCCGGTCATCGGAAGGCTGCCGTTTTATGTGACCAAACCATCTAAGCGACTCTCTCTAATCTTATCTTCCCATAGTGCTACTCCAACCTTTTCACGTATATGTTCATTTAGTATCCTATCTCTAAGGGTAAAGCCACTCATCCACCTGGGCATCCTCATATCTGCAATACTTAACTTAGTATTATGCTTCTCTTTTAATGGCCAACATTCAACACCATAAAGCATTGCAGGTCTCACCACCATCTTATAGAATTTTCCCTTAAGTTTGAGAGAGACTTTTCTATTACACAACAAGCTTGATGCATTCCCCACTTCAACCATCAAACTTAAATTCTGTTGATAATATCCCCATCTATATCTAAAACGTGTACTCTTATTAACGACTTGATCACCCAAAATCACAATCACCCCACTAGATATATTACTACTAACTCTCCATAGCACTTCTTTTGGAACTTTATTATATGCTTTCTCTAAATCAATAAATTTCATATGTAAATCCTCTTTATTCTCTCTATATTTCTCCATCAAACCTCTCAATAAATGTATGGATTCCTTAGCAGTCCTACCCGGCATGAACCTAAATTGATTTTGAGAAACATTAGTATCACGTCGCAACCTACGCTCCATAACTCATTCCAATAGTTTTAAAGTATGACACATTAACTTAATTCCTTTGTAGTTCGCTCAATCTTGTGCATCACCTTTATTCTTAAAAATAGGAATCAACACACTCATTCTCCACTCACCGGGCATCTTTTTAGTCTTTAAAATAGTATAAAAAAATTTAGAAAGCCAATAAATTCCTTCATCTCCTAAGTATTAGTATTTCCACTCCTCTATTGGAATATCATTAAGTCCATTAGCTTTTCCACACTTCATTTTTTTTAAAGCCTCTCTAACTTCAGTTTTACTAATACGTTGATAAAAATATAAATATTTATTTTCATTTAAGGTGCTAAGGTCACTAAAGTCGTATTTTCACATTCTTCGTTAAACAAATTTAGCAAAATATCTCATCCATTTTTGTTGATTATCATCTCCTAAGAAAAATATTTTTTGTTCTTCATCCTTAATACACTTCACTTGTATTAAATCCTTACTATTCCTTTCTCTTTGTTTGGCTAACTTATACATATATCTTTCTCCCTTCTTGGTATCTAATATATTATATAAATCATTAAAAGCTTAGATCTTTGTATCGCATATTGTTTTCTTAGATTCCTTACATGCCTATTTATATCTTTCCCAAGTATCAGAATTTTTACATCTAAATCAATTTTTATAACAAATCTTCTTATTTTTTATCTTTTCTTGCACATTTGGATTCCACCACTAACTATTTTTACTATTAGTAGCTTTTCCCTTTGAAACTCTATGCACATTTTTTGTAATATTCTTAATATCACTAGTTACTTTTTCCCACATAATATTAGCATTCTCATGCATAGACAAAATCTTAAGATCTAAAATCTTACTCTCAAAATTAATTTTTGTTAATTTTTCAAAATACCTCAATGTAATCCTAGAATATCATTTTACCTTATTTTTTTATTTTCTGCTCCTTTATCTTAAAGTTCAAAATTAATAATCGATGTTGCATACATAAATTTTCAGTCAGAATAACTTTACAATATTTGTAATCTAAACGATCTAATTTTCTTATAAGAAAATAATTAATCAGAGTTTACTATATCCATTTTTATAAGTGATAAGATGCTCATCTCTTTTCTTAAATAAGATATTACCAATTAAAAAATCATAAGCTAAAGAAAAATCTAATTTGGTTTTACTACATTCATTTGTCATTCCAAATCCATGGCCACCATGAATGTTTTTAAAATCATCTACCTCTCTATCAATATATCCATTTAAATCTCCTCCAATAAAAATTATTTTTTTTAAGAAATATATTTTGTATTAATTCTTCTAAGTCATTCCAAAATTTTAATTTTAAACTTATATCCAAATCTAATTGAGGAGCATAAGCACTTATAATATTAACCATCTTATCATCAACAATAATCTTTAAAGCTATAATTCTATCTCTAATTCTATTAATTTTTATAATATTATCTTACAAACTCTTATCTATATCATTTATAGTACAACTCCTATATGAATGCACAAAATATTTATTTTCTTATGAATCATAATATTTATTAATTCCATTAATTTTCCTGTAAGGGAACCTATATTCTAAATACCTTTCTTAATTTTAGTTTCATGAACTAGTTTCTTTTCCCATATTTGTCCTTGATGTGGGAACCCTTGTCTATTTAACACTGCACCCGGGCGTCGGTGCAGCAGTCCTTGCACACTTATTACTGTATTCAGTCATACAGTGCGTCGCTTCCAGGGGACGCCCTAACATTAACATAATTTTTTAAAGGATTCATATCATGATTATTTGACAAATTTTATAATGGATGTCGACTACTTAACGCAACTCTCTACTTTTCTTATACAAGATTAGAGACCTAGCAACATCAGTGTTGAAATGAATGCTATAACTTATAAATTATAAATAAAAGCATAAATGAATAATTGAAATGGAAAATGATATGCATGCAAATTATAGGAGTTCACCCCCGTATGATACTGACTGGGGAACAATGTACCCATGCAGGTTAAATAGAAATGTAAAAGGAAATGAAAATGATTGTATATTTATTGGTATATTTAGACGTTACTCCCATACTAATTGAAATGTAATTATCCATTGAGTTTATCATGTAAACTCAACCCATTAAAGTAATATTTTTAGGTAAGTCTTTCGATCGTGTATCAGGCTAAAGCTGACGGGCTTTGGAAGACTTGATCGGACACTTGCTCAGGCAGCGGAACAACCTAGTGTTTAATAATGAGGAGGCCAAATGTGTTGCTTGGAGGTGCCGAGTCGAGAGAACTAACGCTAGCGATTTCCGTATTCGATCGTTTGAAGGAGGCGGATTGATTTTGCTGAAGGACGTGTCAGAGTGGAGGAAGAAATCGGGAGTTCAATGAAAGCCGAAAAGATAGCTTGGGCTTCAGCATGCGTAAAAATGAGCATAACCCCTTATGTTCACTTCTATGTTATTCTTATGCCAATGGTTATTGACATAGTGGTTGTCAACACGCACATTTGGCGACGTGCCGACATGCTGGCAGTTATTATCTATTTGCATTTTTTTTCTTTTTGAGTGCTGTAATATGCACTCAAGGTCTATTGAGTTGATGATAGGATCTAGTGTTTGGTAAAATAGCTGATGTGTCTCTCTTATTCTTTTACTGACTGCAATAAAGGTTGCACTGATGATTGTACAAATCAATATGATGTTGCTCTTTGCTAAATAACTGAACATTATTGAACTCTCATGCGAATTCCATACGCCTTCTTGAGTCAGAAGCTTGGCATATTATTTGTTTCTTTCTTTGGTTTAGTAAATTATCTTCATCTTTGGTTTAATATGAGACCTAACAAGTTTTCAACTTTTGTTAATTAATTACTGACTACGTTTAAGCTTAGTAACATCCATTGCAAAGGTTTTGAATGAAAATAATTCTGTCAACATGATGCCTTCCATCTATTCTTTATTCTGCATTGCAATTATTATCATGGCTTGGTTGAGCTGAGGAGCTTTTAGCATCTATTATAGGCGACTTAACTGTTCCATTTAACATTGCCTTACTGGACCAATTTTGGATTGATGGAGAGTTAGGGCCTACTAAATCCACAATCTTGTCCTTATTTCCTTCTAAATCAGTTGACCTATAACTCATGTCCCCATTGTAGGAAGGAGGGAAGTTGAAACTGGGTGATGCTTCAACTCTATTCTCTTTGTACAGTAGGCATTTTTTTTGGCTAGATTCCCGCTGAAAAGAAGTTTTCCGTTCAGTCCCCAACCTCATCACCCTTGAGCTTCCCGACATGTAGTCAAGCTCTCTTAGTGTCATTGAACTTGTGAGCTTGGACGTAAACTCATCTTCAAGGATCTGGGCTTGTAGGTCGGTATAAACCTAAGGCTATGGTGATCTTTAACCAAGGTTCATTCACAGGTGAGCAGTTGTAAAAGTACATTCGTTTGTAAGTATACGTTCATGATATAGAACACAATAATGCATGTCTAAACATTATAATGTGCCGCTGTTTGATAGTTTTGGTAAGCATACTGAACGCTTGTGCTATTATCTTTTCAAACAGCTATTGAAACCTGTAGGCGATTACTAACCATATTTTTATGTGCTAATAGGAAGCCTCAACCAACAATATTAAGTCCTCAGTAAGGTTATAATCTCTATGTAGTGCTTATCCACTATTTGACCTACCTCCTATGAGTAGTTTTTTGTTGGTATAGACGAACAAGGAAGGTCATTTCCTACTCCGTTAATAGATCTTGGTTGTGTTGTTCATCTGTTCTTCGTACTCAGAGGATGGTTGTACCTTTATGATCGCATCTTTTGTGGCTTAATTTTCTACATTGAGAATTTTTCATTTATATTGCTTTGAATTTCTTCCACTTATATTTTCATGAGTAGCAAATATTTATTTGAACTTCATTGCAAGTTTATTACTGTTTTATGTTTCTGTTTACACTGAACTGTGTTGCATCTGTCATAAAATTCGTAAAAATTCCATTGCATGTTTAATTTTTCTTTTCATTGCATTAATGACATGAAGGAAACCTTAGATCTTGTTAATAGTGTCCTGCATCAGCTTGAAGCTGAAGGCAATTAATTTGATATGAACTAGAAGTTCTATTTGACCCTTCGTTATCTGTCAAGGATAAAAATTTATTGAGACATGTTGATAATTGTTACATGAGATGACTTAAAATGTACTACTACATGCATTGTTTTTTTTTTGTGGCTCACGTTATTATTGAGTAGTTTCATTCTCTGGGTAATGTATAGCTACTCTTAACCCTCTGAAAAAATTTTGCAGGTTAATGATTATCCACCAGGGATAGGCCTATCGCCTCATATTGACACGCATTCAGCATTTGATGATATGATCTTTAGCCTTTCATTAGCTGGACCATGCATTATGGAGTTCAGGAAGTATTCCCTGGGGTCATGTCATTCAAGGAAAGCTATTTTCCTTCCTCCTCGGTCAATGCTTTTGTTGTCCGGGGAAGGACGATATGGTTGGCATCACTACATTCCACATCATAAGGTTTGCACTAGTTTTATTATTTTACTTTGGTCCTTGACTGTGAAGGTAATATCAGAAAAACCTTTTTTGTATTTTTTTAGTAAAAGTTGGGTAGTGATTCGATTCTCATTAAAAAAGAAAAAGAAAAAGAAAAAGGTACAAAATATAGCATAAGCTGAGAGGTAATAGATACCCGGAAGGAAAACCTGATACAATGTTGAAATACTCAAAAAAATTATGAAACATTAGATCAAACATTAAAAATTGTGTTGATGTAGAACTTCTGAACTTCAACCTCCAAATGAAGAATGCCAACATGATGATATCAACCCAAAGAACTTTTTTCATGTCTAGAATAGTTATTGAAATTATTTTGTATTTCTTTCCTTCCAAATCACTCAATTGGCCACTAAGAGCAATATAAACGACAACTGTTTAAAACTCTTCTTAATATGTTTGTGTATCAACTTTGTGAAATTTGAGTAAATATTATCAAGAAGTTGTGGGCTCCGAAAATTCGGCCCCGGCCTCCCCGCCGCGCACTGATTGTTTGCTTTTGCTTGAGCGAGGGAGTTTTAACGAACTAAGTTACGGGGTAAATTTTGGAAGGCAGATGGGTTTGTAGATAAGACACTACCCAGAGATTTCGCCCTTATTTTGCGAGGACTTTATGATCTGAGTTCTGGTTTCCTATAGGCGCAAGCCCCTATAGTTAATTACCCCTCCCGATAACGAGAGAGAACTTTCGATTAAGGCTAGTCGTCAATCAGATACGTAGAGAATACGTGTTATCTGACATATAGTAGCAGCAATGGGCATAGGGATTGGAGAATTTGAAGATTTTGATATTTAAAAATAGAAATTTTCACCATCTTTCACTTAAAGCGGATGGTGGGGGAGTGGATGATAGACCCGATCAAGATCCCATGGTTCCGTCGTCCTGGGCCATCGTGGTCCTGGTCTACTAAGTCAGATGAGGTAGTCGACCCAACCTGACAGAAGGATCCTTGTCGGCAGCCATGAGTTGCATCATCCAAGGGGACCTTGTAGACCTGGGGTGAATATTTGCTTGAGGGGACAAATTTGAATCCACCTTAGCTGACAGAGGGCTTTGTGCCCTATCGATTATATCCTATTGATTCATATCTCAAGAATTTGATGCCAGTAAGGAACGTATTGGCTCTAGCCATAGCCGGTATATCGTGGTGTCATTTGGCGGCAAAACCACTCAGTTCAGAGGGCCCCGGGTCGTCATAACCGTTTATCATGCGGTGCCATTTGGCGGCGGACCACCGGTTAGAGGACACGTACCACGTCCTTATTGGCAGGAGATTATTTGAGAATGGATCCTAGTGATATTTTCGACTAGTCATTTCGCTCTTTATGAGCTGAAGTAAATTTTAATTTGTCCGCCCTGACAAACTGTTGCCGAGGGTGGATAAATTTTGCTTTAAGTTATTGATGGATTTATTTCAGCTTTAAGTATCTTTGGATTTCTTGATTTGTGGAATTTGGATTTTGAATGGACTTTTGGGAGACATTTGAAAAATGCCCGAAATTAATCCCTCCAGTTGAGATTTGCATTCAACACCGCCATCATCGGGGTGTTTGGGGTCATTTCTATTTTTGAATTGAACCTTGTCGACTCGGCTGAGCTATTGACCGAGGATCGGGTTTCTCGTAGGCTTTGTACATTTGTTAGTGAATTCTCTGGATTATAGGCCTTGAAGGCCTAATATGAATGTATTGAAACAAATACATCGGTCCCCACAATCATGTATTTGTTTGAAGGTTCGAACCCTGTCGACTTCTATTGATCCGTATAGAAGGATCGGGTTCAAACTTGAATTCACTTATTGACCCGCGCAGTATCCCTAAGCGTCACGTGTGTACCAGTAACATGCTCACCGGGGCCCATACGGGTCGAGATTATATTTTCCCCTTTAGTGTACCTATGTGTATACAATTTATAGTGCACGTGCAGGGGTACTTTGAAATAATTGTAGTTGTGTAGATAAATATCATTTAGATGCACACAACTTTTCATTGGAGAGCTTATACACGTCTTCTGTCCGCTGGTACGAATGTTGCTGATCCGGTGGTGTGACGTTGTAGTTGTGGTTGCCTTCTGTCTGCTTGTACGAATGTTGCAGATCCGGTGGCGTGATGTTGTAGTATGTGGACGCCTTCTGTCTGCTTGTACGAATGTTGCAGATCTGGTGGCGTTGCATTGTAAATTGTAGACGCCTTCTGTCTGCTTGTATAAGTGTTGCAAATCCGGTGGCATTGCATTGTAGATTGTAGACGCCTTATGTCTGCTTGAATAAGTGTTGCAGATCCGGTGGCATTATGATCTTGATGTTATGAGGCATCTCCTCATCTTGATATTGTCTCCCCTTTCTCAATCATTGGGGAAGGATCTTTCTGAACTTTAGAGTCAACGACTGCTGATTTGGAAAGAACTCCCTTTTAGGATCTTCGGTGTAGCAGACTCATTATTTTCGATGTTTGTAGACACCTGAACAGTTTTCTTCTTAAGTATAGAACTAAGAAGAAACTTTGGAACACCAGGAAGTTTAGTTCTAATTTGTTCAAACTTTCTTTCCGATTCTGCTATGGAGTGTACTTTTTTTGTACTTCGAGTCGCCCTTGTACCTGAAATATTCGAATATCTTGATCACCACTATCGTAGGTGATATCCGTACTTGTGTCCACAGTGATTCGATGTGCTTAAGATATACCCACTGTTGTTATCCACAAGCGGCTCGTGTTTGTTTGTAGGGATTCGTTATATTTGCTACGACCTCCTAGAGATGTTCGTAGAAGACCCACTGTTCCCACATCATATCAACCTTTCACCAATCTCAGGTGGTTAGACCATTGCACTTGCTTGTAGGGGTAGTTCTTTGATTGCTGATCTCCAGTATTGCCATCTCAATCAACAGGCAAACTTGTAAGGATTGTTTGTAGAAGTCCACTGTATCTATCAGCATCATTTAGTGTGTATCATATATTCAGGTACTGATGTTTGATCCTCATTTATGGTAACTCATTTTGATAATCATTTGTTATCCGTATGTCTTGAGGTATTTATTTTTTTTATCAATTGCCAACATCACCCTCTCAATCTATAGGGTAGCTGTTGTTTGTGTGGTAGGTCTTTGATTTCTATATGTGGGTAGTATTTGTGCACCTTGCAGTTGTCTGCTGTTGCTTACAAGTACAGTGTATTGACTTTATAGAGAATATTGTAGGAGTTTATTGCATTCAAGTTCTACTTGAGTTCAGGTTCTATTTCAATGAAGTTCTCATTTGAGTTCAAGCCTTCTGAAATCTTGTTCAATTCATGTTAGAGTTCACTTGAGTTTGAGTTCTATGTTCGGGTCCCCTGATGTTGCAATGTTCGAGTTCAAAGAACAAGTTCAAGTGCTTGTTCAAAGTCTTATGGAATCTTTGCAAGTGCAATCTTGTATTCAAATGATTTGAATTTAATTCCAATCTGATTTTATTTCATTTGATTTTGACCTTAAAAAAAAAACATTTAGAATTTTGTTCAGATTTAGGTCCACAAGTCCTCTGTTCTTCATACAAGTCCTCTGCTCGTTTAGTTCAATTTCTGCGTATTTTTGTTCGAGTACAGGTCTTCTATATTGTTGCCCAAGAAGGTCTATATTAATTAATTAATTATAATTAATTAATTAATTATAATCATTTCTAATTAATTATATTTATTAATTGTTAATTAAAATTAATTAGAATAATTAATTATAATTATTTATTTTTAATTAACATAATTAATTATGATTTTTGATTAATCATAACTAATTAATAGTAATTAAATTTAATTAATTATAACTAATTAATAATAATTAATTACAATTAAAATTAAAATTAAAATTTATTAAAATTAATTATAATTAATTTAATTAAAATTAATTATAATAACGATAATTAATTAAAATGATTATAATTAATAAAAAAATTAATTGTAATTAATTAAAAATAATTTTAATTAAAATAAAAAATAAAAAATATTACTATTCCCTCGGCTCGGCTGGATTATGGGATTTAGCCGAGAAGCACGCGAGGGGGAGTTACCTTCACCACCAGCTAGCTCCCTTTGCTTCTTTCGATCAAAATGTCGGTCCTTCGATCCAACGAGAAGGAAGTCGGAAGAGGAGCGAAGTTGCACAGCACGTAGGAGCCGGAGTAGCGGCGAGATCGGGAGAAAGTTACTGCCGCAGCGAGCGTGCTCCCGTTCTTGTTCCGATCAAAGTGTCGTAGCTTCCGATCGGACAGAATGAGGAGGTCGTCGGAGGAGCCGAAGTCGAACGGCCATGAAAGCGTCGAAGAAGCGGACCGAGAGGGAGAAAGTTGCTTCACAGCTGGCGAGTTCCAGTTGTTGGTTCTGAACAGAATGTCGTAACTTCCGATCCCGACAGGAATGTCGCCAAAGGAGCGAGTCGGACAACCAGGAAGGAGCCGAAGAAGCAAAGGGAGAAAGTTACCGTCGTAGTGAGTGAGCTCCTTGCCGTCGCCTCCGATCAAAGCGTCGTCACTTCCGATCCATAGGAGGAGAAAGTTGTTGGTGGAGCAAAGTCGAACGATAGCAAAGGAACCGAAGAAGCGGCTTCGGTCTCCTTTTAATGCCAAGAGAGATCGTGGGGGGGGGGAAGGCGACGACATTCGGGATGCGACATTCGAACGTGTGCGAGATGGCAACGACGTGCGGTCGGACAGGTAAAATGATTTGGCCTCTCTTTTTTTTTTTTTAATTTTGTACAGGTCAACAGAAGTGTTGAAATACCAAAATGTTATTAATTCTTCTCCATATTGAATCAAATATATTTATTTTAGAAAATTCATGTAACTTATCCACTTCATTAAAATATATATTAATTGTGTGAGACACATCATCAATTTTATAACTATATGAAATGTGTCAATTTTTTGAAAATTAATCTATCACGAGAAAAGTAGAATGTTGGCCTATGCATGTATCTTGTGATTGATTTGAGTAA